ATTCCTCTTGTAGGAACAAATAATTGAAGTTTCCCAAAGGGTGAGATGTCTGCTTCTCAGGAGTCTGCTTGCTGGCTGTAGGCAATATTCTTGCCCTGGTGTGATGTACCTACATTTTTACTCCATCCAGTTTTAGAGAGGTGTAAGTAGTAAGAAGAACGTCATAGGATCCCTTCCATTTTTCTTTAAATGGTTGCTCAGGTCATTGCTCTTTTTCACTTTCAGCACCGCCAATCTCCTGCTTTGAGGGGATGCAAGAGAGCTTCTAGGTGAGGGGGAGACCTGTGGAACACAATCTCATACATAGTAGTTAACAACTGACCAATCTGTTGAACATACTGTTTGATTTTCCTTTTTCCTTCTGTGTTAGAAATGTTTCTTTTTCCTTGCTCTTAGGAGCTAAGAATGGTCTCCTGTACATAATTTCATAAGGACTCAATCCTAGCCTGCTTTTAGAAGCCATCAGTATATGGAGGAGAGCAATTGGCAAGACCCTGTCCCATTTTGGGTGAGTTTTCTGGCATAGCTTGTTGAGAGTTTTCTTAATAATGTCCTTAAAAGAGTTTTTGTCCCTTCCGATGCTTTTTCTGTTCTGACTGGAAAGGCCTCTATTCAATCTTGATCTAGGCGTAACCCTCTTAAATCTTTAGCAAAATTTCATTGAAGAGGGTTGGGGAATATTTAAATCCTTGTGGCATAGCTCAGAGAATTCAAATTTGCAAAAATACGGAATAACTGCATCTGAAATCATTTCCACAATTGTCACCTAGTTTTACCATAGTTACTCCATTTTGACTTTCAAATGTATTCCCCTCCTCAGTGTTAAAGCAGATGTTATTGTTATTAATTTCAGTGCTTTTCTAGATATGAGGAGATGCAAGAATTTGGACTCATAACATCTTCTGTAAATATGTAAAGGCCTGTTCTGCCAGTTTTCTCAGAGCATGGAGTGACTCATTTCTGTTCTCCACCCTGAATTCATTTCAGTAGGTGTTGAAGGTCAGTGGCCACAGTAGCCATTGACTTAATCCTTGCAGAGGCAGAAGGCAAGTGCCAATTTTCAGTTGGCAAGGCCCCTTCAGGGTCATAATTTTGACCCTGGTTTGGGGGGCATTTCATGACCATTTCGTCCCACAGTGCTAGGAATGTTCATTCTCAGGTCTGGTGAAGATTTCATTGATAGGTCACTCAATGTGCTATTATTGGACTTGTCCTTATTAACAGTGCAAAAAGTCTCTGGACCACCTGTCTTACTAGTCTCTTATGATCCAGGAAAATATTCCCTCTTGTTGCTTCTTCCCATATCTAAAATTACACTATTACAATCACTGATCTCACATGGAACTATATGTCATTTTACCAGACGCTCAGTCACACATTTGGTAATGTAAGAAACAACAATTTTCTGAAAAAAAGGCAATATAGGAAACAATATAGCTAGTAAGGTCAATATAGTTAGTAAGGTCATAAGTAAGAATGTAATTCAAGAACTTCTATTAGGTGCTGCCTAGTATATCCCAGGTCATCTGACTTAGTCTGTTCTGTACCATCCTTATCTTTCAGGGAAATTATATACTGGCACTGTCCATAAGGCAGCCAGCCCAGTTTCCTAGTGTTACTAGACTGATCATCCTTAGTATGATTTAAATGTTCTCAGCATAGAGGAGTCTTTAAACTTAAATTACCATAGCCTGGTGTTAACTACATAAATCTATCACACAATCATGGGAAGTTTTATTTCTTGGCTGAAATTTTGCTTGTTGCTCTGATTGAACTTGAATAATAGAGGAAAAATCATATTTATGGTCAGGGTCAGAGCAGGTATTATTAATTGGCCAGGTGAGGGGATCCCAATCCCACTTAGTAATATCAATAGTGGCCTAAGAAGGACTATAATTTCTTTTTTCTAAAATAAATTTCCTAAGAGTCAACCAATTATAGCCTTGGAGTGGAGAAATCCACCAAGGTAACCCAGAAGTGCTAGATATGGGTAACTGGCCACAAACCCAACAATTGGATTGATTTTTAAAACTAGCATAGAATCATGCCTATAATAGAAAAGCATTTGATTCATATGCAAAGGTCTAAGAAGTCAAGAAAACATTATAAAAGATCATTTGAGTCAGGTCCAGGATCTTGGGCTAGCTGTCTATTTCTGATGTCATCTTCTTCTCATCCTGGTGTGAGTGCAGTTTCTTCTCAGTTTGAGCATTGTTTTAAGGTGATTTTAAGGTCAGCAGTCCTCTCTATAGGCCAGTCCAGTGCAGGCACCATTTGTGAGTAGAAATTAATCCAAGAGTTAATTCCCTTCAGTTTCATGGTGTATGAGCTAGTTAAGAGTACCTGATAAGAGTCCTTGTGTCTAGGTTGGAGATAGTCCTTTAAATTATTTTTCCAGTATGCATAATCCCTTGGTTGCAGGTCATGAGTCATCTGATCTTCATCTAAAGTTAGATTACTAAAATAAGCTTCAGAAACAGAGTGTCTTTAATAATTCAATTAAACTTTACATTAATATAACACAACAATGGGGAACTATCTGGGAGGTGAGTCTTAGTGAATACAGACCTCCATTAACAAAACTGGAATGTAATATTTACTGAAACATAATCTTTTTCTCTCTAAAATTACCCTCATTTTTACCAAATATAACAAAATTAAGACTAGTTTGTTTGCAAAATAATTCTGGTCTCAATAAACTTGGCTTGTTGATTTATATAACTGTAATTGACCATATAGGCTTTTTTTTTTTTTTTTTACTTTGATGAAACTTTTATAAGGAGTTTCAGACTGAACTTTTAAAAGATCTCTCAAGGCTAGGAAAATCACGCCAAGGGCTTGTCACAGATTTTGCCTAACAGAACTAGGTGAATTCCTCTCTTTTCAAGGTCCCCAAAATACCTTGAGATTTCTGTACCTGTTAGTGAGGTAGCCTTCTTAATTTATCTGACAAAGCTGCTGTGAACCTAAGAGTTTCCAATCTCTGAAGGGAACAGATAGAGAAAAAAGATAAATGTTTCAGATAGAAGCAGATAAATTCTGCTTTTAAAGGTATAATTTACCGAATTACTATAAACCATAATTAGTTTGAGGGTAAGGATTTCCTTATACCTGGAAAACACAAATTCAAACAAGTAATTTTTCAGATAGAAACCATAAAAATTATAGCCATATTCACCAGTTCACTCAGGCCTATGTAACTAATCCTTTTTGTTAACAGTTTTATGAAGCCATCAACTTTCCCATTAGAATTCTTCAATTTCTTACCCAGTTTAGCATTATGGTCTGAAAATCAGAAACCTGTATTTATCCAAAATTCCTTTCTATAAATCTTCAAGAGGCAGAATTTTTGCAAAAGATTCGAGTGAAACCATAAATGTCTATAATGACGAAAGACTTAAGAAGGCATGTTTAAAATCTGATTATAATGCAATTGACAAAGTAACTTGGTTACTGCTGTGACATACAACACTTTCAGAAAATAACTAGAACTATGACTGATAACGTTTTACCAGGACATATCAGAATTTTAGAAACTCCATCTAATTTCTAGAATATCTATATTAGTAACATTTGCCATACAATATAAACTAAGAAGATTTATTATGTATTTGACAATTCTTCTCATGTAATTTAACATACCAAATGAACATAATTAGTATAATATCTCTCTTTGGGATGGTTCAGGGGCCCCTTGAAGCATCCCAAAGTTAGCTAGAGGTCAGAGAAACTTCATTACAGTTTGATTTGGAAGTTTTGTCAAAAAAAAAATCAAAAAGGATTTAGAACACTTAGTCAGATAGGATCATAGGTCACTGTGAAATAATAGTTATTTTTGTAGCCAAAGTGGCAATAAAAGTTTTCAAAGGCAAATACAGATCTCTTAAAAGGTAAAGAAACTTAAAATCTGTTATCAAAGGCAGCTCAACATTTTTTAAAAAACTTGTCCTTTGAACAGAGAGAAAAAACACTTTCAAGTTTTGTAGCAGTTTACATTTAAAATTTATTTACTCACTTAAATTTTTTCTAAACTTAGTCACCCCTGATCATGAACAAAACTCTTTCCTTGGCATCCACTTTCCACAAACTTTCATCACTTTCTGTATCCATCACTTTATTTTTCCATCCAGAAACAGCCAGTTGTAAGTCAGACCTACTTTCTTGTCCCTTAATACAATGCAATTCCATTCCTCATCTCCTCTTTACTGAAAACACACATCCTACTTTCCTTAAACAACCATGAACTGTCCTTTATATCAGCACTCTGTAGATTGGTAAACATAAAACCAAATAATAATTTCTTGAAAAATGTGCTTTCTTATAGAAAATATCTTGTTGTGACATGAAACACATTTATTAATCAATCTAAACCTTTTGTTTATCTGTGAAAGTAAACCAGTGTTCAGTAATTAATGTTTCAGTAGCTTATTTTATTTGGAAATGGTCTAGTTATTCAATAAATTTCCATCATTTAACTCTTTAGCACAAATCTAAAATTTCAAGTTGTCAAATATCTGGAGAGATTATTCTTAAGTAGACATTCCTAAAATATAATTGTTCCTAAAAATTTCATCCAAAGCTCTTATCTTATTTGCATTTTCTTTCCTTAAAAGTTTCTTCACATTGAGTTACTTTCCTTGCTGAAAATTTGCAACAGATATAATAAGATCTTATTTAGCTTATATTAAGCCTAGGTACAATAAAAGTATTATACTTAATGTTGATGACTCTAAAGACATGTCTATATTAATTAGATCAACAAACTTAAACATTGATACCAGGTATTAATTTAATACTGAATATTTCCCAGTTCACATGAACCTGAAATTCATTTAGCTTAATTTCTCTTGTATTTAGAATTGTTTGATTTGTAAGAGCTTACTTTTCTTTAAGCCAATTAAATGGGCCTCATTTACAAATTAACCTCAGAAATATTATCCAAAGACAGACACATACTGAGATATACATATATCCAGACAGACACAGTGAGAGACCTAGCTTTCTGCTTGAGGCTTAAAATGTCTCTCTGTCTCTGTCTCTCTCTCTCTTTTTTTTTTTTTTTGGCTTGAAGTTTTACTAATTTACTCAAGGCTGAAATCTCAGCCAAAGTGGGCTGTGTATCTCAAGGACATGATAAGAGTTAACTCCAAGTTTTTCTCCTAAGAATATTTTTGTCCTCTCAGGGTCAGAATTCTGAAAAAGTATTTCAGTAAGCTAGCTTTCTCTAATTGTACATGCAAAAATAACTCATTTTGTAGTTTTTAAAAAAGTTTTATTTTAACCAATTTTCTCCAGAGTCTAAAGAATACTGTGGCCATCCTGTGTCAAAAAAAAAATCTTTCTTTTCTTCATTGGATCATAACTATAGGTCGACCAGTCATTCAAAAATTTTCGCAAGGGGCTCCCAGGTGGGGGTGGAACCTCAGAGGAAATGTTTCCCATTTTGGTTTGAGCAGTTGGCAATAAAAGTTAGATGTTAACGTGCTCAAATGAAAACCTAAACCTTCACCTTGACAGCTGGAAGTCACACATAAAACATAAACCATAAGAGGAAACAGCAAAGAGATGCTCAAAAAGAAAAAGAAAAACATATGGTGGAAACCCACCCAAACTTGACTTCCGAGTCCCACTAGACCTGGACCTTTGCCCCAAGTGGTGCCTTACATCAGAATTTCCCTTTGCTGAGAGAATTCCACACTGGGATTTCCCTTTTCAGGGAAATGTGCAAATTGAAACTGAAGTTTCTGAACGGTGTACAGTCAGAATCTCACAATTAATAATAATACCCCACTACCCCACAGCAGTATGGATAAAGGGTAACCTTGGGGCAGAGTTATCTTTTAGGATGATTTGTGATCCTCATTTTTGCTGTCATTAACTTAACTCAGGCTCTTATAACTTTATTCCTGTATTAATACAACAGAGGAGAAATTTATCTGAGTTTCCTGCCTCAGTTCCATTTACTGTCCCCAGTCCTTTTAAACCACCGTGTGCTTCTGCTTTTATCTTTCAATTCTAAACATGCAACTATAGACGTTCTAAGCTCCCTGTTGCCTCCCACACCTGGACCATCCTCTCCCCTGGCTCCACACTACAGGCTAGCCCACACTGTACACTTTCTATTTATAACTCGAGTCATTTCCACCTTCCTCTCTTCCTTTATACCAAGTGCCATTTTATGTACTCCTCAAAAACCAATCCATGTCTTTGCTTCATCATGAGGATTATTCAGACTATCCAAAACTTACTCATCTTACTGTCTCTACATCCCAGTTGAAATAAACAAGTATTAATTTACCTATCAGTCGCAAAAACATGTTTCAGTAGGTGACAATATGTGTATGAATAAGCAAGATTTTAGCCTTCTTTCAGTATAATACAGTAAATCATCAAATACCCTTTAATTTGACCACAGTATTTATATTGTGCATCACAATGTTTTTTCATGAAACAATAGTGTTAATGGTTAACTCCCTGTGATGTTTTTTATTGTATTCTATGTGTGTAAAAATGATGACTGCCAATTGACAAAATTGATTTCATATCTCACTAATAGGTCAAAAAAGAAGTTTGACAGCATTGATTTATAAGAGGAGAAAGAAATGTAAACCCTTGCTACTCAAAGTATGTTCTATGGAACAGTAGCCCCAACATCACTTAAAATCTTTATCTTTTTTAATATCTTTATTGGAGTATAATTTCTTTACAATGTTATGTTAGTTTCTGCTCTATAACAAAGTGAATCAGCTATATGTATACATATATCCCCATATCCCCTCCCTCTTGTGTCTCCCTCCCACCCTCCCTATCCCACCCATCTAGGTGATCACAAAGCACCGAGCTGATCTCCTTGTGCTATGTGGCTGTTTCCCACTAGCTATCTATTTTACGTTTGGTAGTGTATATATGTCAATGCTACTCTCTCATTTCATCCCAGCTTACCCTTCCCCCTCCCCGTGTCCTCAAGTCCATTCTCTACATCTGCGTCTTTATTCCTGTCCTGCCCCTAGGTTCATCAGAACTACATTTATTTTTATAGATTATATATATATATATATATATATATATATATATATATATATATGTGTGTGTGCGTGTGTGTGTGTGTGTGTGTGTGTGTGTGTGTGTGTTAACATACCACATTTGTTTCTCTTTCTGACTTACTTCATTCTGTATGACAGTCTCTAGGTCCATCCACCTCACTACAAATAACTCAATTCCATTTCTTTTTATGGCTGAGTAATATTCCATGTATATATATGTGCCATATCATCTTTATCCATTCATCTGTCAATGGGCACTTAGGTTTATTCCATGTCCTGGCTATTGTAAATAGAGCTGCAATGAACATTGTGGGACATGACCCTTTTTGAATTATGGTTTTCTCAGGGTATATGCCCAGTAGTCAGATTGCTGGGTTGTATGGTAGTTCTATTTTTAGTTTTTTAAGGAACTCTCATACTGTTCTCCATAGTGGCTGTATCAATTTACATTCCCACCAACAGTGCATGAGGGTTCCCTTTTCTCCACACCCTCTCCAGCATTTGTTTCTAGATTTTTTGATGATGGCCACTCTGACCAGTGTGAGGTGATACCTCATTGTAGTTTTGATTTGCATTTCTCTAATGATTAGTGATGTTGAGCATCCTTTCTTGCATTTGTTTGCAATCTGTATATGTTCTTTGGAGAAATGTCTATTTAGGTCTGCTAGAAATGCAGAATCTCAGGCTCTGCCTCAGACTTACTGAATTAGAGTCTACAATTTATATGCTCATTAAAATGTGAAAAGTACTGATAAAAACAACCACATATAAAACATGAGAAGTATTAAATGGATGTATGTTTGGAGGATGGGAGAAGAAAAGGCACAGACACAAGGCTAACTTTTATTGAGCCAGGCAGTGGACTGGGTTCTTTCATATAACTTGTCAACTCCGTCTATTAAAAAAAAAAAAAAAAATGTAAGTTGGGTATTGCCATTCTCATTTTCTGAAGGGAGGATATTAAGGCTGAGAAAGGTTAGGAGTTTTAGCCTAGGTCACACAATTAATAAAAGACAGAGACACAGACAGCAAACATATTTGCAAAGCATATATCCTATAAAGGACTTTTATCCAAAACTTACAAAGAATATTAAAACTCAACTATAAGAAAAAAAAGTTTTAAAACTTAGTCAAAGGATCTCAATGGACACTTCAACAAAGAAGACATACAAATTACAAATAAGCATATAAAGATATGCTAAATGTCATATATCATTATGGAATTGTAAACTAAAACACCAGCTAGATACCACTGCACACCTATTAGAATGGTTAAATCCCAAAATAATGACAACACCAAATGCTGACAAGGATGTGGAACAATGGAAACTCTCATTCTTTGCTGGTGGGAATGAGAAATGGTATAGTCACATTGTTACCAGAGTTGCCAACAGACCCTTGCTCAAAACCCACCAACCTCTTCTTTAAATAGGACTTAACATACGTCTTTAAGTCACAGAATCTGAAAACAAAGAAAGGAAGCTATAGGAAGAGAAAAAGAAAAACTGCATAAAACCAGGTGAAATCAAGTTGGTGATGAATTGTATCCTATGTTCTTGGATTGGAAGAATTAATATTGTTAAAATGGCCATACTATCCAAAGCAAACTACAGATTTAATGTGATCTCTATCAAATTACCCATGACATTTTTTATAGAGCTAGAATAAAAAAATCTTAAAATTTATATGGAAACATAAAAGACACAGAATTTCCAAAGCAATTCTGAAGAAAAAGAACAAAGCAGGAGACATAACCCTCCCAGACTTCAGACAGTACTACAAAGCTACAGTAATCAAAACAGCATGGTATTGGCACAAAAACACACATGCAATGGAACATAAAATGGAACAGAATAGAGCTAGAAATAAACCCACACACTTATGGACAATTAATCTTCCACCAAAGAGGCAAGAATATACAATGGGGAAAAGACAGTCTCTTCAGCAATGGTACTGGGAAAGTTGGACAGCTGCATGTAAATCAATGAAGTTAGAAAACACCCACATACCATATACAAAAATAAACTCAAAATTGCTTAAAGACTTAAATATAAGACAAGAAACCATAAAACTCCTAGAAGAAAGCATAGGCAAAACATTCTCTGACATAAATTGTAACAATGTTTTCTTAGGTCAGTCTCCTAAGGCAATAGAAATAAAAGCAAAAATAAACAAAGGGACCTAATCAAGCTTATAAGTTTTTCACAGCAAAGGAAACCATAAACAAAACAAAAGACAGCCTATGGACTAGGAGAAAATATTTGCAAATAATGCTACTAACAAGGGCTTAATTTCCAAAATATACAAACAGCTCATATAATTCAATGACAAAAAAACAAACAACCCAATCAAAAAATGGGCAGAAGACCTAAATAGACATTTCTCCAAAGAAGACATACAGATGGCCAATAGGCACATGACAAGATGCTCATCATCACTAATTATTAGAGAAATGCACATAAAAATTACAATGAGGTGCCACCTTACACAAGTCAGAATGGACATCATTAAGAAGTCTAAAAATAATGAATGCTGGAGAGGGTGTGGAAAAAAGAGAACCCTCTTACACTGTTGGTGGGAATGTAAATTGGTTCAACCACTGTGGAAAACATTATGGATATTTCCAAATAAACTAAAAATAGATATGATCCAGCAATCCCACTCCTGGGAATTTGGGCAGATCCAAACAAAACTGTAATTTGAAAAGATACATGCACCTCTATGTTCATAGAAGCACTATTTACAATAGCCAAGACATGGAAACAACCTAAATGTTCATCGACAGATGAATGGATAACGAAGATATGGTGTGTGTGTGTGTGTGTGTGTGTGTGTGTGTGTGTGTATGTATATATATATATATATATATATATATATATATATATATATATATATAATGGAATATTACTCAGCCATTAAAAAGAATGAAATAATGCCACTTGCAGCAACAAGGATGGACCCAGAGATGG